TATATAGTATTGTTTTTTACACTTAAATGCTGATCCGCTTGGATTGTATTCAGGTACACGGTAAGAAATATGGATCCAAAAGTTATCCAGGCATGCCCTCGCTCGCCCTTGTAATCACCTACTGATATGGAGATGGCTACTTCTCTCCATCCCTTGGAAACACCTATTGTATGGAGATGCACTAAGGCCGGGCGAGAGATTCTGGAAATATTGCAATTGTACCAACAATTAATTAGTCTAAAATGATACTAAATATGGCTTATAATTACAGGCAGTTTATTCATTTGGCAAAAAAATATGTTGCAGCGCAAACGCTATTTACCACCGTTTTGTGTGCTTAGGTGCAGCAGAGAAAAAGATGGACACCAGTCCTTGCCCTCTTGGAGCTTTTATTTTCATTAGTCAGGCGTGTCTGTGCTTTGGGGACTCTGCTCACCTGATCTTTGGACATTCTGTTCTTCTGGGTCCAGGGCAGGTAGAGAATTCTAAAAAGGTTTGCTTGTATTTTGAAACATCTTTTAGTTATAGAAAACTATATAAAAGTCATTAATTTCACTCATCAAGGGCTGTGTTTGAGAAGAACAATGTCAATTGTGTTACGTGAAAATATATCAATGCCTAAATAAAACATTGTATTTTACAAATAATGATTAAGATCTACTAGAACCAAGTGTGTTGAGGCCAGCTTATCTAAATTAGCCAAGTATCTAAGTAACTCATTACCTACACTTGTTAGGTATTTATTCCGGAACATTTTTTTTCTTTGCCCTCAAAGCTGCCGTGCCCACAACCCCTCCTAGCCCTGTGCCCACACCTCTCCTAGCCCCCATCCTGGAACCTTTACAACCAAGGAAGGAAACGGTGTGGTGTCTCTGCTCCCAGATGGGAGTTCTGAGAACCCAAAGGAGACAATTGAGACCAAGGGGCTGAATGCAGGCTAATTAATTACAATTTGAGGGGGTGGAAAATCCATTTGTAATATAGAGGTAAAATTTAATTATTTAGGCAATGACCTTACTAACTGAATTGAAGCTTTGCCTGACACGCACCAACTATTGTATACCTGGCATTATAAAAATTCATCACATAAAATAATAAATGTTTGCAAAATACAATGTATTTTTTAAAATAAATAAATCTAGCATGTGTGAGGCCCAGCGGGTAACCCAGAGCAAGCAAGAGACAAGGTCAGAGAGGACACGGGGTAAGGAGTAATGGTTGTGCTTGGAGATTATTGTCAGGACTTGGACTTGAAGAAAAATGATGCATAAAGGAAACAGAAAATGCTGCATCATTTAAATTTGCATTCAGCCTTCCACGATGACCTCTCCTTGCATATGGCAACTATTCTAACAAAGAGCTAGGTTCTGCTAAAATCAGTGCAGCAATCTAGCTCTAACTTTTGAGGCAGCAAGATAAATGGCATAGTTTATTTTTATATTCAATTATCTATGCCTAAAAATATAATAAAATGCTGAGTTTAAATGTGGCCAATATGACCTCAGTAATGCATTCTGCATAATTCCACCTTAAGGCATTTCCTCAAATTCCCTGCTTAAAACCAAAGGGTTGTCAGGAAGAGGCTTAAATAATTACAGGAATGGAGATAAAAGAGACTGTTAGTAAGAAATTATAAATCAAGATAACATTTGAAGGTACAGAACTCAAGAGGTCTGGAAGAAAACAGATGCTCAAAAAAATCACTCCAGCATGATTTTAACTCATTTCTCCAAGATGCAGGCAAACCTCTGTAGTCAGGTAATATATTAGTGTAATTAATTTTATGTGTTATGCATTTCCCCGATTGCCCTAAGATATTTTTAATTCCTTGCCCTAGAGAATTTTGCTGATAGCAAAGCAGAAGTTGCTTCAAATTCGCATTTTACACAAACTTTTATGTTCAAGTTTTCCCCAGATGATGTCTGGGTGTTGTTTCTGGGGAGCTCTCATCATGCTGGGAAGCCAGGGAGGCAGACAAAGGGCAGGCGCGTTGGTGAGGCAGGAGCGGAGCGACGAGGTCCCTGCTGCCCGGCAGTACGGCTCTGGCTGAGGTCGGCACCCGTCAAGGCAACGTGACCTCGAAGCCAAGGCACGCGGCTCGGCAGGGAACCCAGACGTTGGTTCAGCGCTCCCAAGGCCACCAAGGATCGGGGGCATCCAGTGGTGTCCCGAGAAAGCGGACTCATCCCACGGACCAGTCCGGGTCATTGGGTCTCTCTGGGCGAGCTCCCTTCCAACCTCGGCGGCTTTTACGCAACCCACGGGGAGCAGGAACTCCGGGACAGGGCCTCGCACAGCCGTCGATTTATATAAAATGTCAACTGCAGATTCATGTCCGGTAGGTAGACTGTCCTGAGCTGACTTTCCCAAAAACAGCTCTGAAGAACCTGGGAAGGAGGGAGCCGTGTGCAGTTCAGTAACTGCCTCTGCCAGCTGGGAAGCAAGAAAACCGGGGAGGCTGACGGCCTCTAGGAGCTCCTACTCGGTGCTGACGTGATGGGGCATCTCTGCGGCCTGGGGGACGGAGGCCAGAGGTGGCAGCCCAGGGAAGGTTAGGGAAGCTTTGGGGATGTCTAAGGAGACGGGTTTGTGCAGTGAGAGCCAAGTAGGTCCCCCTGGGCTCTTCTTTCTTAGCTTTCCTAGGCCACGGAAGAGTTCCGAGGGGCAGCGTGTGTGTTTAAAGCTCTCCATCTTCCCTTTCGTGGCACCTGCACTTTGGCCTTGTCTCGACTTTCCTGCCTGCAAGGCAGGGAAGGATTTCCCCTCTGAGCCCCATGCATGCTGTGTATATAGTATTGTTTTTTACACTTAAATGCTGATCCGCTTGGATTGTATTCAGGTACACGGTAAGAAATATGGATCCAAAAGTTATCCAGGCATGCCCTCGCTCGCCCTTGTAATCACCTACTGATATGGAGATGGCTACTTCTCTCCATCCCTTGGAAACACCTATTGTATGGAGATGCACTAAGGCCGGGCGAGAGATTCTGGAAATATTGCAATTGTACCAACAATTAATTAGTCTAAAATGATACTAAATATGGCTTATAATTACAGGCAGTTTATTCATTTGGCAAAAAAATATGTTGCAGCGCAAACGCTATTTACCACCGTTTTGTGTGCTTAGGTGCAGCAGAGAAAAAGATGGACACCAGTCCTTGCCCTCTTGGAGCTTTTATTTTCATTAGTCAGGCGTGTCTGTGCTTTGGGGACTCTGCTCACCTGATCTTTGGACATTCTGTTCTTCTGGGTCCAGGGCAGGTAGAGAATTCTAAAAAGGTTTGCTTGTATTTTGAAACATCTTTTAGTTATAGAAAACTATATAAAAGTCATTAATTTCACTCATCAAGGGCTGTGTTTGAGAAGAACAATGTCAATTGTGTTACGTGAAAATATATCACTGCCTAAATAAAACATTGTATTTTACAAATAATGATTAAGATCTACTAGAACCAAGTGTGTTGAGGCCAGCTTATCTAAATTAGCCAAGTATCTAAGTAACTCATTACCTACACTTCTTAGGTATTTATTCCGGAACATTTTTTTTCTTTGCCCTCAAAGCTGCCGTGCCCACAACCCCTCCTAGCCCTGTGCCCACACCTCTCCTAGCCCCCATCCTGGAACCTTTACAACCAAGGAAGGAAACGGTGTGGTGTCTCTGCTCCCAGATGGGAGTTCTGAGAACCCAAAGGAGACAATTGAGACCAAGGGGCCGAATGCAGGCTAATTAATTACAATTTGAGGGGGTGGAAAATCCATTTGTAATATAGAGGTAAAATTTAATTATTTAGGCAATGACCTTACTAACTGAATTGAAGCTTTGCCTGACACGCACCAACTATTGTATACCTGGCATTATAAAAATTCATCACACTTTGCTTTCTAAAGTAACTTTACAAATAGAAATAACTCCTCCTGACTTCTAAAACCCAGTATGGTTTTTCAAAAATTTTTAATGGCCACACAGGAGGAAATGCATTTTCCATCCATCATGATGCAAACACATAACACACATACAATGGGAATTCAAACAGAAGCCTCACAGAACAATACTCTCCCTTGCATACACAGCGTGATGTGTTCTATTATCTCCTCTTCTATTCTATATTTTCTTTATTTTATGAGATCAGTGATACTTTAATTTTTTGCTCACAAGTGTAATTCTCAGCTGGCTGTGGCTCATCTACACACTGTCTTCATCCAGGACCTCAGCTGATAGAGTAGCTTTGATCTAGAATATTGTCCTTTACTGTGTCCGTAGAGAAACTGAGACAGAGACCTTGGGTGTAGCCAGAGTAGGGTGAGGGCCTCCGGAAAGAGCAAGGCAGGATATCTGCAGTCAGAGCAATGTAGCTGCATGCAACGAAACCCCCTACCAAAGCTCTGTGTTAAACAATAAGCTCTAGGGTCATTCTTCAGTGAGATCAGTTAATATTCCCCAGATAAAGAAGAGTAGCACATGTTTTATTATGCTAACCATTTATAATCATGTGTAAGATTCACTGTAGCAGGCTAAAAGGCCCAGGCCTATGTGCTGTCTTTCCTCCTTCAGATCTGATGAGGTGATTTTGCAAACTGGGCAACTAATTTAGCAAGTAAGCCCAGGCATAAACAACATAGTAAAAGGCATAAAGGATTCCACCTAAAAGACAAGATTGCATTTTAATACCCAAGAATTTAAGACCTTAGAAATTCTTAACTTACTCTTTAGCAAACAATACCTCAGCCCGCCTAAGCATGTGGGCAGGTGGCCTTGTTTGATATGCCCCCAGACCAAGGTGCTGGTATCTCAGAGAGAAATCATCAGAGCAGGAAGTTGCTTGTGTTGTTAGTTCTAAATATTCAGGGACTGCTTAATAAGTCCACACCCCTAAGCTTTTCTCATGTTCCCCAAAATCCTCAACTGCCTATAAAACCCCTACACAACGCACCACCTCGGACTCTCTTGTCCCCTACTGGCATGAGCCAGGAGCTCTGTCCTCTCACTTTCTCTCTAAATAAAAGCCTGTACCTTCCTCTCTTACCTTGACTGTTTGTGCAGCTCACTCTTCAGCTTCGTGAACAAGAACCCCGGCATCAAAACCATATGCTTGTTCTTAAGACTTCTGCCCAGAAATGAAACACATTCCACTCCCGTGCACTGGCCAAGGCAGCCAGGTGGCTGAGTCTGATGTCACCAGGTGGGGAAGCACAGTCCTCCTGCAGAAACATTTAGAAGACATTTGTGGGAAATAATGCAGCTTACCCCAGAGCTTTACACACATACATAGTTTCTTATAACTCTTAAGGCCATGTTTATGTTAGGCATTATTCACCCAATTTAAATTATGATGAAAATGGGGCTTGTACTGCAGAATTATTAAACAACAAAGGCTGGATCCGGAGCAGATCTGTGACACACAAATCTGTTTGCATAACTTGCACATGTTTTTTATCATATCCCAAATGACTGAGTTTTCTCTTAGAAAGATCTCCTAAAACGTAACAATTATGGTCAAGAAAATACAAACTTCACAGTGATGTTCCTAGTGTATCATTTAACAATAATTATAGAAGATTCAGATCTACAGTTTGGAAAACATTGTTTATGGAAATTCAAAAAGGTTCAGAATGTGTTTTCCATATTAACTGATTCTATAAAAGTAGTATCACATTTAGAAACTAATATTGCAGAGCTGTGAGATACAGGAGTTGTGGAAGTAACACTTCTACACATTGTGATAGTTAAGTCTTATTTCAGAAAAAAATTTTGTCCAAATTAAAATAGAATTACGTTTTGGCATCTTTATTGAAAATCATTTAACTTTATATGCAAAGGTTTATTTCTGATTCTATAACCTATTCCATTGGTCTATATGTCTGTCTTTCTGCCAGTACTACACTGTTTTTATTACTGTGGCTTTGTAGTAAGCTTTGAAATCAGGAAGTGAAACTTCCAATTTTGTCCTTTTTCATGATTGTTTTGATTAGAGGTCCATTGAGATTCCATATGAATTTTAAGATTGACTTTTTCATACCTGCAGAAAATGTCACTGGAATTTTGATAGTAATTGCATGAATCTGCATAAAATTTGGGTAATATTAACATCTTAAGAAGATTAAATTTTCTAATTCATGAACATGGGATGTTTATCCATATATTTATTCTTTTCTTAATTTCTCTTGGCAGCGCTTTGTAGTTTTCAATGTACAAGCCTTCCACTTGCTTAATTCTGAAGCATTTTATTATCTTTATGCTGTTGTAAATGAAATCATTAATTTCCTTTTTAGATTTTTCATTATTGGCATAAAGAAGAAAACATGTTTTTGTGTGTGTGTGTTGGTATATATTCTGCTACTTTGCAGAACTAATTTCTAACCATTGTTTCCATAGAATCTTTAGGGTTTTCTCTATATACCATCATGTCATCTATGAAGAGAGATAGTTTTACTTCTACCTTTCCAATTTGGATGTCTTCTATTATTTTCCTTGCCTAATTACTCTGGCTAGATTTCAGTAAATTTTGAACACAAATGGCAAAAGCATTCACCCTTGTTTAGTTCCTGTGTTTACAGCAATAAATTTCCCCCTTATCACTGCTTTTACTGCATCCCATAAGTTTTGTTATGTTGTGTTTTTATTTTTATTCATTTGTATTTTCTACTTTCCCTTGTGATTTATTCTTTGACTTATTGGTTTATGAGTTTTTTTTAAGTTTCCCTAAGTTTGTGAATTTCCCAATTTTACTTGTTCATTTCTAACTTAATCCTGTTGTGGTTGGAAAGGACATTTGCCTGATTCCTGTGTTTCTAGATCTACTGAGACTTAGTTTGCAGACTGACATATGGTCTGCCAGGGCAGAATGTTCCATGTGACTCAAGAAGAATGTGTGGTGGTTGTTGCATAGAGTGTTATGTCTAGTTGGTTTATTGTGTTGTTCACAGTCCCTAATTTCTTTATTGATCTTCTACCTGGTTGTTCTACCCATCATTGAGAGCAATATTAAGGTCCACAACTATTATTGTAAAGTCATTTCTCTCTTCATTTCTGTTTCATACATTCTGTTTTGAGATGTGCAAATACTTATACTTATTCTAAATCTTTGATGTATTAAAACATGTTTCATATATAATGCCCGTCTTTGTCTCTTGCAAACTTTTTTGATGTGATGCTTATTCTAGTAGAGTCATGTTCCCCGGGCCACCTTGTGCATGGAGTTTCTTTTCCCACCCTTTCATTTTCAACCTATTTGTGCCTTTGGAGGTAAAGTGACACTTGTAGACAGCATATAGTTGGGCCTTTTTTAAAATTTACCCCATTCTGTAAATCTCTGCCTTTTGATTAGAGAATTTAAGCTATTTATAATTAAAGTAATTACTGATAAGGAGGTACTTACTTCCATCATTTTGATATTTGTGTTTTATATGCCCTATGGCTTTTTTGTCCCTCATATTGACATTGCTCCCTTCTTTGTGTTTAGCTGATTTAAATTTCCACTTCATTTCTTTTTGTGTATACTCTCTGGCTATTATCTTGGTGGTTACCATGGAGATTTTACTTAACATGCTGAAGTTATAACATCCTAAAGTTATTACTTTGCATGTAAACATCCTAAATCTAGAACTTTATAAATATGAAGTTATAATACTGAAGTTAGAATTCCAATTTGAATTGATAACAGCTTATCTTCAATAGCATAAAAAAACTACACTACCATGCAACACCTTTCCCACCACCTTTTAGTTATTGAAAACATAAAATTACTTCTTTCTGTATTGTGTGACCAAAAACACAAACTAATGATTATATTTATATGAGTAAGTCTCTTAAATCATGTCAAAAACAAAAGTGAAGCTACAAATCAAAGTTATGAAAAAACTATTTTTATAATTGTCTATGTGTTTGCCTTTACCATAGATCTTTATTTCTTTGAGTTACTAAGTTCCTTTATTTCAATCTGAAAGACTTTCTTTAGCATTTTTCACCAGGCAAGTCTACTGGTAATGAACTCCCTCAGCTTTTGTTTAGCTGGGAATGTCCTAATTTCTCCATTTTTAAAGGAAAGTTTTGCCAGATATGGATTTTGGGTTGATTTTTTTTTTCTTTCATCACTTTGGAATGTCAACCCACTGCCTATGGTTTCCAGGGTTTCTGACCATCTGCTTATTACCTCACTGCAGGTCCTTCTATGGGATAAGTTACTTCTATCTTACTGCTTTCAAGATTCTCTCTTCTTCTTTGTCTTTCAGCAGCTCCATTATAATGTGTCTCAATGTGGGTATTTTGAGTTTATCCCACTTGGAGCTTTTTGAACTCTTTAGATACTTATATTTTGTCATTTCATTAGATTTGGGTATTTTCAATAATTATTTCTTCAAATAACCCTTGCTCCTTCCTTTCTTCTCCTTCTACATCTCCCACATGTACAGGTTGGTTCGCTTCACGGTGCTCCACAAATGCCTTAGCCTCTGCTCACTTATAGTCAATATTTTTTCCCTTCTATTCCTCAAACTTAAATAAATACCATTGTCCCGTCAACTCAAGTTCACTGCTTCTTTCTTCTTCCCGCTCTAATCTGCTTTTGAAACCCTCTAGTGAATTTCCATTTCTGTTATTGTACTTTCCATCTTTAGAACTGTGGAGGAGAGTTCTTTTTTATGTTTTCTATCTCTTTATTGACATTTTTATTTTGTTCATCCATGATATTCTTGACTTTGTCCATGTCTTTTTTAAATCCCTTTGACCACTTTTAAGGCAGATGTTTTAAAGTCTTTGTCTCATTAGTTTTCCATCTAGTCTTTCTCAGGGCTGATTTATGTTGACTGATTTTTTTCCTTTGAATATTCCTTTTTAAATGTTTCTGTGTATGCATTGTGCTGCTGTTGTTAAAAACTGGACATCTGAACTGTTTAATGTGGTAACTGGAGAGGAGATCTCCCTTCCCTGGGACTTACTGGGATTTTTTGGGTTTGTTTTTGTGTCTATTTTATTGCTATAGAGTTTCTCTGGACCAAAAATAAGCCTGAGGTATAAACTTAAGGTCTCCTCAGGTGTTTTCTGAGCCCATACATTTCCCTGGGCATGTGCAATTACTTTCCAAATTTCCCTTTATATATGATTGCTTCTGAATGTGGTAATCCTTAATTGTCTGGCTCCCAAAGAGGAAAAAGAGAAAAACGAAGGGGGACAAATACAGGCAGCAGATCTTTAAACCCCCTGGAAGTCACATCAGCAGGAAGGGGAGGGGTCTGCAGCAGTGGTGGTGAGGTGCTGACAGGACTGCCCATCTGTGTGTCAGCACCTCCACCCTCGCAAACACCAAGCAGCATTCAGGAAACTGCTCCGAGCACTTGGAAGGCAGGATCCTCATCTCGCCCTGACCTCTGCCAGCTGCAGGGGAACTGCTCCAGGGGCATCCACATGGCTGCCTGCCACGGGCTGTGGTGTGTGGGATCAGCAGCTATGACTACCCTAAAAGCTGAAATTGACCAAAATTAAATGCACCTCACCATTCAAGTCTTCCCCTTGATGTTGCAGGCTCCTAATAGACTGAAGAGTTCCAAAGTAGTCACATTTGACTTATTTGTCAAAATTTTTGAGTTCGCTTCCTAATACATGGCATATGTGGGATAAAGAAATCATTTTCTGGACTTCTCAAAATGAATCAAAACAAGGTCTGCACCCAGGGCTCACACTTGTCTCAGTCTGGGAAGCCCTGGAGTCTCCCAGCCCTGCCCATGCTCTGCCCTCACCCTGCAACAGCCTTTCTTTCCCTCCAGAGCTAAACTAGGACTTGTTGCATAAGTGATTAAGGAAATTTACTTCATTTTTCATTTTCCCTAAAACTTTAATTTACAATATTCATTTCCCTTTTAGCATCATAAGGGAAAGGGAATGGGCTGTCCCCAGTGCAGAGAGCCTTGAAGTATAGTTCTTTTATTTCTATCTCCTTAATGTCTCTCTGTCCCACTTCGCACCAGGACCACTGCTGGGCAATCCCTAAGCCGGCCCTTCCTCACCGCTCTCCTTAATGGTTGTCGGTCTCCTTATTAAAAATACTCTCCTGTTCTTTGCATTATGCATGTGGCATTACGATGATCTGTTTTGTCTTCTGCTGACAGTGTTCTGTCCTAGCCTGAGGACAAGGATTGTATCTTTTAAAAATCTATTTTGCAAGTATCTTGAACATAAAAATTTTTTTGAGGTGAATGAGCAAACTTTCAGATTCATTTCTAGATGTGCTCATTCATAGGTATTTATTGGGATACAACTGTCATTCATTATTCAATGCGATGGGGATATAAAGGAAGACAAAACAGGAAAATTCTCATTTCCATGGAATTTAACATTCCGCTGAAAGCACGTGAAATTATCCTTGCTGACATTAAGTAAGACCAGCCACCTGCTGTTCTATTCTCCCTTCCTTCTCACTGACAGAAACCTGTGTTTTGATTGTGGCGGTTTAGCCACACAAGAACTCCTTTGTCATTTTCCCTGAAGCCCAGGGAGGCCAGTTATGTAGAAGAAGTTGTTGAACGAGAGTGTCCAGGAAGGCTCTTCAAGGGGCTGCCCCACCGACCCACGTTGCCACTTACCTTCTTTCTTCCTGGGAGCCAAACGTGATGGCTGGAGCTGAGGCCACCCTCTTGCTGCCGTAAGGACAGAAACTGTGCTCAGGGCGGTGGAGAAGGATGACGGAAGGAGGCTGAGGCACTGACCTCATCACAGGGCCACTGCACTCCCTCTGGACTGTCCGCCTCTGTGTTTAAGTGAGAGGGAAATACCTCCCTCTGTTGTTCTAGACACTGGTCTTCAGATGGTAGCACTGGCAGCTGAATTCAATTCCTGGAAAATGCAGGAGATGATAGGGGCCATCAGATACATGAGAGGGACCGACAGAGGAAACACAAGGGAGACCGGAAAGATGCTGTGAGTGAAAGATGACTTGTTGCCTAGTCGTAAGGAGGTAGAGAGGAAAGCAGGTACAAAGGAGCTTCCAGATCTTATCTGAGGAAGCCCTCAAGGGAGAAATCAAAGACAGGATGAAGAAGGGGTTGACAGCAAGTTGGAAATAATGTCAGACATGGGAATATTGAGGGAACTTTTATTTGGTAAGGAAAATCTCAAGACAGTTTGGGCAACTGGTACCGGGAAACCAGTGAAATATCCATGAGGTGGCCCCTAAAGACATTAGGGAACGCAGTGCACAGAGAGGTCTGGGTTAGAGCCTCACGTCCAGCACCCGGTGTGCACGGACTTGGGAACGCTTGGCATTACCATGGGGGTGAGAAGTGCAAGGGAAGGTGTTGGAGCTCTGGCCCTGGAGGGGCAGCGACCACAAACAGGAGCCAGAGAAGACAGCCTTCTGGGCAGGACAGCCAAAGAGCTCAGTGTCATGAACTCAAAAAAACAGAAAACTGCCTTTATGTTGCAGTACATAGACATAATGTTTCAAAGTCAGGAAATCTTGAACTTCCCTATGTTTTGTTTACTGCAGTTAGCTATCCCTCTGAGAAGTAAGTCTGAAAAGGAACATCAGGCCTGCAGAAGTAAATGTAGATGGCCCTACATGCTGCTTTAAGACTTGTGTTGTACACGCCTGCTGCACATCAGTAAATTGGATCTTACTTAGATTGTAGCCTCTTTGAAAGTTAAGGCTAAAAACTCCAGCTTAAAGAATATTTTTAATTACCAAATTTCCTGGCAAAATCTAGTACCTAGCTGGCTCTGAAAAATTTGCTATTTGCATCTTTGTTGATTCACCCAGGACGCAGGGCGGGTCCGCGCTTGGCTGACAAGACGGCGCTTGGGGGATTCTCAGACCGCTGATGCTGAAGTTCGCATGTAACTGGCTCTACAATTTGGGATTCTTTAGAAGGGAAGTATAAATATTTAAAAAGGAAAGGGTTATTACTGTGTTTTCTTTAATTGATAGAAGTGAGGAAGGAAAAACCTGAACATTTAAAGATATTCAATATGTTCTGCTTTAAAACCAACTGAAATGACTTCAACTCCAATCACTCCAGATTGTCTGGTCATCAGTCTTTCCCAAGGTGAAATCCGAAGTCGCATGGACTCTATGTTATTATTTTAATACATGACAAGATTCCAAGGGACGCAGCCTCTCCTGCACACCTGTAAGAAACCAGTTAACGACAAAATAAGCCAATTGCTATTAAAATGGGCCCAAGTTTTAGCCACAGCAAGTTGCCTAATTTGTGGATAGAAGAAATCTTTCTCTAAAATGCTATGACTTGGAAGTGAGAATTTTCCAGCCTTGTGCCATAAAAAAATAACAATGGCAGAGCCCAAAAGATATGCTTTTTCTTTTGCCTCAGAGAACTTGAAAACCTGCAAAAACTGCACTTACCAGAGGTTCACATGACTTCTACATCATAATCCATTCCCCTTACACAACCTCCACCTGTTTTTGCACAGGGCTGCTGTCTTGGGCCCCAGGTGCTTCCTAATATCAGCCAACACGTTCTGTGTTAGTTCACATGTCTGTATCCTGCACTGTCCCCGAGCACTAGCTCCGTTAAACCGACGTTCAGAGAAAACAGTAAGTGAAAATACGAAGATTTCTTCTATACCATGGAAAGGCCAGTTTTGTTTTATTTGCTTATTTGTTGAATTCTTTTTTGCCTAACCTCTTGGGTAGCAGTAACATTATTACTGGGAAATTTCCTTTGATATTTAACTTAAATTTCCTGAAAGTATTTAATAGAGTTATTTAGTCTTTAGTCATTTCTGTAGAGCAGAAAGTAAGGGCTCAGTGCTGCATTCAAATCTCTGCAGGGTATCCTTTTTATAGCAGTTAAGAAAGGCAACATTTTATATGTTTTTATGCAAATATTTTAAGCCTCGATCACCAATTCTTCACAGCTCTTTCCCAGCCTGTTCAGCTGTGCTTTTTGAGGGGGGAGACCCCTCAGCAGACCTCTTGACAGCTCCCATGCACTTGAAAGAAAATGGTTTCCACTGGTGGGAGTCTTTTAAGTCAGAACTGGGACAAGCTGACTATCAGTAGGAAATGCTAGAAAATGGTACGGAGAATAAAGTCTCATTATGCTCAGTCAGTATATGTTAAAATGATACCCACTTTAAGTCCACAGTTTCCTGTACTCTTTAGGAAGATTTCAAAGAGGATATTTAAATGCATGGTTTTTTCAATCTGAAAATTAGCATGCCATGCTGTAGATTAAAAATCATTTTCTTTCTTCCCATGTGGCTTATTCGTACTGTTTTTGTTTGCAATACAAATGAGGACGAATACTTACCTTCCATGTTTCAACTCCGATAATTTTCAATAATGATGATGAGATCAGTCCGTGAGCGGTGGCCGCCAGAGAATAGTGTATAGATCTGCCTTCATATTGCAAATGCATAGACATTATGTTCCAAATCCAGGAAATCCTTGAACTTTTATGTTTTCCTTCACCCCAGTTTGATCCTCCTGTGAGATGTCTATGAAAGAAGATCAGAACTGGAAAAGCAAAAGGAAATGGCTCTACATGCTATTTATAATACATAAACTTGTAAATAAACCCAACAAATGAACTTTGGAGAAAAAAGATGACTTAAAGCATTAATGGGAAATGATGTACTTACTCATCTTTTCACAGAGAGTGCATTACACCAGCAGGCTTAGGTGCTGAAAATAAAATGACAAGACAGAGAACTTGTCCTCCTGGAAATTAGCTTAGTAATGACAGTGATGTCTAATAATTAAGTATGTACGCTTCATACGTCAAGATGCCTAAGGGAATCTCTGTGATGGGAGCAGACCTGCTTTAGAATCTTCTCTGTTTCACTATTTTTGGTGCTTTGAATAAGCTGTGGGTCTTCATATATAAAGATAAATATCAACTGATAACACAATCTTCTCTGCCTTCAGATTTATAATGTCTGTATCCTGGAAGTTTACACAACAAAATGTTATAACATTTTCAGACTTTTTTTTAATGGCTGTGTGTGGACCATGATTTTAATCTGATAAAAAAGGTCTGGCAGAATAACAGTAACTTCAGTTAACGGCTGTTCACAACTAAAAGTAAGAAGGAAAATGGGTCTTAGAAACATAGAGGGTCATTATATGAGGGCTGATGACTTAAAGGCAGATCTGATGCCAGGACTTCGGTGGCCAGGAAGCCACAGTCCCAGTGAGAAAGAGCAAACGTGGTGGAATGGTGGAAATAACCACCTGTTTCAGCCATGGTCAGGCAGGTGTCTTCTTAGCTGCAGCTGAAGCCAGTCCTCAGGGTTCAGCATGAGTCAGAAGCACGTGTGGATTAAGAACCTTTCAAACCGTGACATGGATGCTAACATGGTGGCAACATGGCTGCACTGGGTCAGGTGTGACAGTGACCCAGCCTCGGGTCTCAGGGGACACCAGCGGGCATCTGCAAGAGGCACAGAATACAGAGAGCTCTGTGCACACAATGATCGTGGCATTGGGCTGCAGTGAAGGAACTCCAGGGAAGGCTTTGCCTGAGGTGAGGGTCTGACCCTGGGCAGAGGGCGAGTCCTGTGGCCATGGCAGGCCCTCCGTCCCGGCTTCCTCCTCGCTGTGTCCTGCCCATCCAGCCCGCTTCTCCGTCCCTCACGGTGTTCACTCCTGCCCGATATTGATCCCCATGCAACACCGGTGCATTAAGCAATGAGCCTTCAAGCAGTAAGCATTCTTTTCCAGCTTGGAAAGGGCGAAATTAATGAACACCTTTGGCATTTGAAGACTGTGAAACTCGCCTAAGGTCACTAGAGAGGAGGCCTCGTGGGCCTTGATTAGTAACTTTTTGCTTAGTCCACTGGGTACCTGTAGACCTATTTTTGTCAGACTTTCTAAAGAAATAAATTATTTATTTCCTAATTGTGGAAAGTTATTGTTTCAGCTGCTTGTTAAAAATGGCCACAGAAAATGTATCAACCAGTGAAGTAAAACCATATTCACTGAACATAAAAAAAAAATGGAAGCTTTTCTTTTGTGAAGGGAAAGAAAAAAGGTGGTGGGTTTGGGAAAATAAAGATATAGATAAAAGATATAGACACATATTTTAAAACCAAAGTGAAAACTAGTAGAGATTTTAAAAATAGTCGGCTGCATTCTTCAGAGAATTTCAGGGAAAAAAAATCAGCAGCATAAAAAAGAAACCTTAACAAACAGTTCATCAGTTCACCCTTACAAAGCAAACATCAAATGTTTGAAGGTTTTGTAAATTGTTTCCAGACTCTGGGTTGACTGAGTTCTTTTGCCAAAATTAAGAACATTGTGAATGTAGCACAATGCCTAACAGGACATAGAAGGTGAAGCAGTCTCTCTCTCCGGAGTATTGCCAATCATCTTGCTGCCCCCTGGAAATAGAGTAGGGCAAAATCAACTCCAAGTCCTCACTTATTACTGATTTTTCTTTGTTCGACGTATAAACTTTCCTGTTAAGAGCTTCCCAGAATGGCCAGGAGTCCAGGGAAGGGGACCATGGAATAGAGCTGTTCAAAAAGCTTTCAATTAGAATTCTAGAAGCGATGTCATTGAGAACAGTACTATGTTACTAAGCACCACATTTTTCTCCTCTCAGTGCATTGAACTAAAAGAACCACAGGTGATGTGAAATGAAGGGCAGAGCGGGACCAGAGCCCATCCCTGACTTACACCGGGCTTCCTCTCGGCACCCGCCACCCCGACACGGTCTGCCAGCCAGCACCAGTTACCTTCTTCCTCGGCCTTAGTCATTAAAGACAATGAATATCATCTTATATAACAAGTGCTAAATTATGAAACTATTTTAAGGTTTGGAGAAAACGAATTAAACCCCTTACAGTTTATAAAGGATGCGCATGATTTTCCTTAAAAAATGTTGATTGTATTGTCATGTGCAAATTTCAGGAAAATGCAAATAAAAATCAAAATTCAAAGAAACAGTAACTGTCTAAATAAAACGTAATTTTTCCACCCTGCAAGGTGACACAGTGTTTTGAATGTTTAATGTAGAGTTCTTTTGTTCAGCAGGAGAGATGTACACTGTCTTTTAAGAGAAAACAAATGAGATCTCATTGGCAAAATCCCATTTTTTGTTAAAGAGAGCTGGTATGTGTGGAGTTTCCGCACCCTCGGAATGCACGGGGAGAAAAGTATGGAATGAGGCACAATTATAACCGTGCTCTCTGCGTCGGGAGGTTTTTTTTTTTTTTTAAGCAGATCTTAATTTTTTTCTTTCTATTTTATTCTTGACTTTGATAAAGAGAAAAATGCTATTTTAAAAAACTGATATTGTAGAACTTAAATTCAGAGGGAAATTTGATGTTCATCCAGCCAGTCCGTTCCTTGAGGGGCGTGGCTCCTCAGGGGAAGGGCAGCAGCCCTGGCGTCTGGGCAGGCCGAGTGGGAAGCTTCCGGGAAGAGAGGTTTTGGGCTTTTTGGTTCAAGCCTCCTCCCGACTTGCAGCCCCTCTTAGGCGCCCCTCGCCCTCCGTAAGGAGTCAGTGCGTCGGGCAGGCGCATTCCTTGAACAGCAGGCCTCCCAGTTCCTCAGGGCTGCTTCGTCCTGTTTTCCAAGCCTCCTTAATCTCTTGGTGCAGGCATGTGGGGCAGGGTGGGGGCAGCAGGGAGGTGAAGAAATCGAGCCTGCTGACCCCCTATCCTGCACAGGCGCCTCTTGCAGACACCCCATTTTCTGCAAGTGTCTCTCCGAGGGTCCCCTCCTGAGGCTGGGGATAGGTAGCACCTTATGTCGGGAAAGTAAAAACATGCATTCCTCCTAGTCTAAGAACACAGAATTCTGACTCATCTGCTGCCAAAATCATCTTTGTAATATCCAGACACCTCCAAATGGTTTTTGATGAACTCACAGTGAAAAGAACGAATGGAAAGGGAAACTAGACATCGTAGAATTGAAGATAATACCTGGAGAAATATTTTAAAATTGACTCTTTCTGTAATCCACAACTAGCTCCATCGATTTTAAATATTTCCACTGTTGGGTTGTCAGCTACTAGAGCACTGGAAGGCTGAGGTGTTTCTCCTGGACTCATTCATGACACCTGATGTGGTTACGTGACCCTCAGTGGTATTTCCTGGGCTTGACACATGCTGTGCCATCTGGACATTCACACCCACAGCCACACAGACCCTGTCAGAATCACACGTGTGTTAAGTTTTCTTGAACCAGGCATATCAGAGAACTGACTAATAATTCAAAATATCCACATGGAAAAATAAACAACCCATAATTACACGTTGGTCAGCTGACATACACCCAGGACGTGAGTGAATAAATTCACAAAGTATTCTATCCTCTGTGTGTGGGGACTTTCTTATAGCCTTATTAATATATCACCTTAGAAATTAATTGAAGAAAATCACCCATAGTATCTTCAAGGGATCAAATGAGCACCTGCTGGTTCCAGTTAAGTAAGGTTTTTAAATACTTGGTGGTCTCAGTTGGGACTCCAGAAGTAAGCCTTGGTTTCAAACTGTCCCCAGAATCATCTTGGCCAAGGAAGATAGAGCAATTTGAGAAGTGAATCTGACTGTGCAAAAAGATGGAGTGAGAAAAAATTGATCCTTTGGGAAATATTAACTCATGTACATTATAAAAGCAGGCAATAATTCAAACTGCTATTTTCTGGGATCCTAAAAACATCCCACAGAGGCCCTTTTATCTGGGCTTTCAGACAAACTCAGCGCAGAATGGAGTGTGAAAGGCATTCGGGTGCGGGAGTATCTCGGTGAGTCAGCCGTCAGTCGGCTTTCTGTCCCACGCATCCTAGATCGGCCGGTTCAAACCCCTAGAAGGAGAATTCCTGTCGGGTTATTTAGGGTTATTTAGGGGGAGGGTTCTCTCACCTGCGCAGGAGCGCAGCTCACCCCAGGGCTGTTTTAGTCCTGCTGCTCACTGGTCAGCCGGGGATGCCATGGGCTCAGATTCTTGGGGATGGGCAGGGACAGCCGGTGTCACCCACCCGTGTGCGTCAGAGCAGAGCAGGAATGCGGCAGAACCGACCCCGGTTCACGACTGAGCCTCAGGCCCGAATGTGCAGGTGGCCTCCAGAGCCCAAGGAGGAGCCGAGTGCGAAGGGCAGGGTGAGAGCCGGGGGCAGCCAGGACGGCGCGCGGGGACCGCCCCGCGGCAACGGGTCTGTGTCCCTTGTTCCGTGGACGTGTCTGTGCGGTGGTTCCATCCGCCGTGGGGTCTTTGACTCCCACTACCCTGCACGTCGCGTCGTTTCTAGGAGGGCTCGCTCTTCTCTTGGATCAGATTGGTTTGTCCGGTGGTCACCTCTCTGGTCACGGTGCACCCTGTTGTGCTTCTCCAAGCACGCGGTGCACCTGTTTTGCACCGTGTCTGAGAACCTAACACTGGAGGCTGCTGTGGGGCATTAGGCCTGCGCCGCGTCTGCTGGTTCTCACTCTCAGGGCCCTTGCTCGTGACTTATGATTCTAAGTGGATTTTTCCTTACAACATCTGGGAATTTGTAAAAATGCGATTTGAAGCCGAGTTCCTCGGATGCACAGTGCTTTGGCCAATGGGCACTTCTGACCCAGAGCCACCGGCCGTCACATTATTAGCTTGAGGTTATCAGTCCACTCTGGTTGTGTGAATTCAGCCCACAGCCTGTGAAGGACACCCAGTGCTGTGGATTCTCAATACCGGTCTCGCTCCAGAACCTGTGCCTCCCGCTCAGCGGGGCTCCCTTCCCTTAGGGCTGTGCTCACGGCTGTTTGCAGACCCCCTCACACCAGCTTCATGGTCTTCATCGTCTGACTTCCCTCCCTGGCAGCTGACCAAAAAGGAGGCCGATTTATCTCCCAGGATTCTGATTCTCACATCATTTATTTTTTTCAATTTTGAATTTTCCTTATTTTTTGTGCCAGCTCAGCTCAGCATTTTAATTGTTTCAAACAGGAGGGTAATTCAGAATTTTTATTCCCCCAAACCACCAAAAATAAAAGTTATTACTGCCTTAAAAAGGTTGATGTTCTCATATTTTCCCCCATTGGACTATGTGAATCATCAGTGTCTTTCCAGGACCTTGCCCGAGCTGACCTGGAGCCGGGCTGATAAGACGTAGGTGAGCAGAGCAGATGGTTCCACGACGCTCATCCCATGTGGCTCTGACCTCGGCTAGACAGTCTTGTTTTGTGGTTACTATTTGTTTTGTTGATTTCCACACGAGACATTTGGGAGACCCATTCCTTCTTCACCTCCCACCTTCCGTGATTCCACTTTAGAGACCTCTTCCTTACGAAGCCCTCCTAATGTGAAGACAAGGTCAAGTTTGCCTAATTTAAATTTATGCAACACTGTGTGCTCTCCTTCTATGGCATTATCAGAATCACAAGGAAATGATTAATCTGGGGATTAGTTGTTTGATGTTTGTGTCCCTGAGAGCTAGAAAGAAGTGACAGTGTATGTCTTGTTCATAGAAATATCTCTGGCACCTAGCACGGTGCCTGGCATATGGCGGTCCTTTGTAAATTCTCCGTAGACTCGATTCTTAAATGAATAATTGAAAGGCTTTACACAAAAATACTAAAAGGGGAGGAACTGCATGGTAACCTCTTTCTTACCTTTTACTTCAAGCATATAACAGATGTGGATTAATAGTTGTGTAGATGATTAACGGTGTGTAACCAGTTCTCCCCTCTCAGGAGGCCGGCCGAGGGAAGCGAGTGCAGTCGGGCAGGCGGCCACCGTCGGGCCTCTGTTCAGCACCAGGGAGTTGCACTACTTACAGCCTCAAGGGTTTAAAGAAGGGAATAACACTTATTTTAGACCACTCATATGATTCAAGCTTTTTATCACTTCAAATTTATTTGAATTTGGACATTGCATGCTTACTGTATCTAATTACTTATCATTCAACCTTATAATATTCCCTGTGGGGCATTACAAAATGAAGATAATGGAAAAGATGACTGCTGTGTGTACAAACAAGGGAACACACAGACACTCTGGCAGCAGACATTAAGTACACATTTTCCCCTTCACTGAGTTACATCACTTTGTATGTCCAGTAAACCCTGTGACAGTCTTGCTTGATAAAGTTCCATTTTATTTGAGCATGAAACAAAACTTAGAAAAGAAAACAATAAAATAAAATAATGCTGCCAAGAAATATCATATTTATTTTGGATTCTTTTAGTGGCATTCTCTTTATGATGTGATATAGGGAACTTACCTTTAAAATATTGGAAATAAATTTATGCTAAACCCTAAAGCACTACCTGAATATTTCCAAATAAAATTAGTATAATCACTCCAATTAGAACGTTCCATAATTATAGTTAACGCCATATATTTGCTTGACAACTTGTTTCCTATTTTTCCTGTGAAAAAGCAACACCACCACTAACAAGGACAGTTCACATTAGAAGTTCATACAAGTTCACATTAGAAGAGAATTTAAAAATAATTTCACTCCAGAAATGAATCTGTAGTCATCTTTTGTGGCATTTTTATTCTGAAAGATTTTTAAAAATTTTCTTTGTAAACAAAACAAGATAAATAGGGCCGCTTACAGTTTTACAAGAAGCAGCCTACCTTCTGTACACAGAGGACCTAGAGCCCTCCAAATTACGTGTGACAATCGGCACAGTGATTCCAAAGTGCCACAGCCGAAAACTCACTTTGCAGGCCCAAAATTACTTGTTCTTTTCACTTGGCTACATAAAGTATTGAAGAAGAGAGGGCAAAAACAGAAATTGAGAAGAAGAAGATCGCCCGGAGTGGCAACTGAATCTAACAGAGGAGGTTTAAGCAGGATAATACCAAGTAACATTGGGACAAATTGGGGCCTATAAACCACTTACCCGACATGCCGTCGTCCGCACACAAAGATTACATGTGGTGACTCAGGGAAGTATCAGAGCACCTTTTCCAAAAATGAGACCTCTTGGACAGAAAAGCCCTTTTTCTCGAGATCAAAAGAGCTAAGAAACAGCAAAATCAGACTGGAGGCAGGGTCTTCACTCTACGCATGGATGCTTTACCGTTAGCTGGACACCCGAACGTCGGCTGAGGAGGTGAATGGCCCTGGGCGGGAGGGGAAGACGCAGTCCAGCAGCAGGAACGGAAGGAGTGGGACCCGAGGGCACGGCGCGATGCCAGTGAAGTGGCACCTCTGCGGTGGGGGGGGGGGATCATGGGTGCAGGGGCTGGGTGCCCTCAGACCACCCTGGGGGCGGCTCTCCCAGTGAGGGCCCTGCCTGAGGCGGAGCAACGTCCAGGCTCAGTCCCGCCGGCCCGGCGCTGTCATCGCCCAGCCGGAGAGGTGACGGGACACTTGGCATGCGCAGGCCTGCAGTGCGCCCCGGCCCGTCTGGGTTCCAGCAGCCTCATCACCCCCAGGGTCTCTTCCCGGGAAACTGGACACATTTATTCTCTCCCTGCCACTCGTGGAGGTTCGACTTTCCAGGCTACTGATCTGTGCATAAATTAAAGGATTTTTTGAAAGGAATCGTCAGGCAGGGAAGAGATAAACTGTGTCTTCTGGAAAGTGATTTGAAAGCTGGTGGCCTAACCCGAGAAAGGGAGACTTGACCGTGTGGTCCAGTGGAATTTGGGGGCCGAGCGCAGCACGCGCTGTGGGCCGTCGGCCGTCCGAAGGCGGCCCCTGCCTGCGGGGCAAATACCAGATGTCCAGCAAGTCCAAACTGGCTCCGTCCCGTCCAGGCTGACGTCCTCACAGTGAGCAAACCGCAGTGAGTGCCTGACCCCCGTGGCCCGCGACGCCGGTCACAGCCTCGAGCCTCCGACGCGGGGGTTTTGGGTCACCGTTCGCCTGCTCCAGTCATCTTTCTGCAGCGCGGCTCAAGCACCCCTCTCCCCCCAGTGCTCGCGCTGGGCTCGGTGAGACTGGCCGGACCAGCCATCCGGGCTCCCTCCTCCTTCCGCATCGCAGGCCTTTCAGGAAGGGGGCCCGTCCACTCTTGAGCCTCTTCGTCCCCAGCGTGGTGCCAGGCGTGTGGGAGGCACCCCAGTGACGCTGATCAGAAGGCCCTGATGTGGCCCCTTCCACACGTGAGCCCCCAGAGAATGGAGGAGCAATTAGATTCCCCGGTGTGGGTGGGGTGGGAGTCAGGAGAGGTGGGCGAGCCGAAGGCGCAGGAATACAGGTTCTGAGCAAGCGCGGGAGACCTTCCCCGGGACCAGCCTGCGTGGCAGGGAGGCCTCCCGGGCAGAGAGGCGCCAGCGTGAGCTGCGCACAGAGGCGGCCCTGAAAACTGCTTTGCATCCGTGGGCCTTGAAATTCCCCTCAGTCCTGGGCCCAGGGACTCTCCAGACGAATTTTTGCTGTGCGCCCAGCGGCTGCACAGAGGCCTGAGACTTGGGGGAGCTGTGGCCTCCCTGGGGCTGCACGTGGGGGCATCTCCAGGGCAACACAGTGGACCTTAAGGGAAAGGACAATAAGAGGGGTCCATCTGGTAAGCAGAGTGGGTCTGATGACTCTCGCTGATGTTTTCCGAGTTCCAAGTCCCTCTGGCATCTCACATAGAGACCCTGCCTGGCGGTGCGGCTTCCTCAGGGTCAAGGCCGGAAATCACACCCACGTGCTTCTCTTGTTGAGGGGTAGACGTTATGCTCTCTAAAGCTCCAGGAATCTGGGAACCTTGAATTAAAGTTCATAAATGAAGATCAAAAGTGCCTTTAAAAACGTGTCTTAGTGGTAGAGTGGCACTGATGCCACACGACCCCAAGTTGCTGGACTCACTACGACCCAGTGCACAGAGTAAAATCCAAATCCTTTAACATTTAAGTATACACTACTGCTTATAAGAACTATCTGACACTGTAAATGAATCATTATAAAATTATTTCTGCTATATGGAGAAATAACTCAAACACACTAGATGTCATTCATCCATTCATTCATTCATTCGTAACTCACACATATTTCTTGATTTCTACCTGGGTACTGAGGATGGATGTGAGGCCAGCTCGTTTCCAGCAGAGCTGATGGGAGGCACCGTAGCATTTCCTTTGCCAACTGTGGGATAAGGAGCAAACAAGATCCAGCTTATACCTTTATTTTAAACATGAACTTCCAGATATGGGGCCCCCAGTGAACTGTCTCCGTACACCGCTCAGTATTTTTGTTTCCTTGGGTAAAAGCAAATTGATTTATATTATGTAAATGAAGTGACTGAATAGTCAAGTCTTAAGTGATGTAAGAAAATAAGACACCGCAGAGGCCTGCAGAAAGCTTGTTCACTATTATGCATGTATGGCTCAATCACATGGCTAATTTTTTATTGTGGTGTCGCATGTGACTGCAGTGCCCAGTAGACACTGAATTTCTTAACAGTGTGTGCAGAGGGCATGGGTGCTGATGCCACCTGGACTTCATAGGCCAACCCACACAAGTCACACAGCAGGACACGGTCACAGATGAGACCCAGTGTTTCCCAGTCTCTCTCTCACGTGCATAGAGACACACATGCACAAAAATAAGTAAATGAAAGTTATTTTCCATGAGTGAGGAGCAACTGCTTATTAGGAATTCTTTTCCTGAAGTACTACTTGATTTAGACTAGAAATATTCTGTTGAAAAAGTCTATTCTTCCCAACGAGCATTTCCACTGAAAGGAATTTCCTGTAGATTGTCAGTTAACACTAAGGAACTTCTGTTCTGTCAGTACCGTGAGTGATTCCAGCTACCCCCGTAATGCCAGGATTCCATTTTGCTTTCATTTTCTCTTGATTATAGCAAGGCTTTCAAATCTAACTGTAATTCAAGAAATTAAAATCTTGTAGCTTCCCACCCTCTGAATAAATTTTCATCATAGCTGCCTTTGATTCCTAAGTCTACTCCATTTCTTGTGACTTTTCACTTCTCTTTGGCTTGAATGATTGATAAATTACCCTAAATGGCCTGCCTAAAGGAATTAGAGATTTATTTTACAAAATGAGAAATATGACTGCAATCAGAAGGCAATAAAAACTTTGAAATCACAGTTTTGAGGCTAGAGTGAGAGCAATTTTTTTTAGATTTGCTAAAATCATACCATCTGACTAGTGCTTATAGTAGATATCAAAGGTGAGCTTCAGTATGCTGAATAAAACATTTGGTAGAAATAGTATACAAAGGCACAGTTTTAAGCAGTGAGAAATGAAAGAGATAAGTGTTTCATATAATTTTATACAGAAGATCGAATTAGATATGCTTTAAGACAGATGTAAAAACTTAAAATGGTTCTTCACAGTGTAGCTGCACTGACAATGTTTTGTTTAAAGCAGCTATTTCATGGACTGATGCATGGGGGATTGTTTCCTATTCAGAATAATTCTGTATGATTCTTTATGTAACATATTTCAAACGCGGCCCACATTATTCCTGCCCTTGCTGGACCCGGCTTCAATGTCTGTCAGGGGAAGGCTCAAAACTCAACTTGAAATAATCGATGTGTTTAAAAAAAAACTGCCTTCTCTTCAGTCTCATATTTTTGGTTCTGGACAAGCAAATTAATTTTGGTCCCCACGGGTAAAATTATGAAACTCTCTAAAAATCTTGGAAATGGGGAATTTGTTTATTATAGTGTAAGAAAATTCCAACCTATGAAGAAAAAAACCTAGAAAAATATAAAACAGCAAAAGTCTTAAAATCTATTTTCTAATACATTTAATTGAGAAAAATCTGTGCTGTACACTTACAGTTGCTATTTAAGCAATTAGAAACCTAAAGGACCAGATGTTATAACCTAATTTATAATAGAAGCTTGATAAGTATGAAATAATAGCTCTCTGGCTGGTAAATAAAAGTAGGTCACATTTTTTAGAAATGTAGCCTCATCACTACCAGTCGAAGCCATACATCTCACATTTTTTTTTGGTATGAAAAGTGTATTTTCGATTGGAAAATTCAACAAGCAGCCCGGTTTCTCAGTTACAAGATGTTGCGTCAGATCCAAAACCGCCCTTGAGTAGCTGCGTAGCTTCTTTCCGGATGATTGACAGACTCCACCAGAGCGGCGGTCTGTCGCCGTGCAAGGAGGTGACCCGGCCTCCAGCCTGTGGCCATGATGAGGCTCCAGCAGCGCCCCCACCCCAATCCCACCCCCTGTCCGGGGCTGCAGCCAGGTCTTCCCGATGGGGCTGCTGCGGGGGCGGCAGGCGAGAGACCCCGGGCTCCTGTCCGCGCCCAGCCGGGCTCCTCAGGCCCTGGGCGCGCCCCTCCCTGCCCCGGGTCCCACGGTGCCCCCCACACCCCGGTGCCTCCCAGCCGGAGTGGGTGGCGCGCCCCTGGGCGGAGGGAAGGTGGCCCCGGACCGCTGAGAGGTGGCGGGAGTCCTGCCCCTCGGCCTGGCCTCCGGGGCAAAGCCTGGGGTAGGTGGGCTGGTGGGGGCAGCGCGGGTGCCCACAGGGCCCCCAGCGACTCCGAGGAGAGACGGCCGGCAGGGCCCTGCTCTCGGCCTTCGCTCCGGGGCTCCCCCGCGAGGCCGCCGCTTTCCCGGGGCACCGGCTGCCGGAGCGCGGTCACTGTCTGCAAGGCCTGGTCCGCAGCCGCACGGAGCAAGCTCGCGCTCGGCCTTGTTACGTTGTCTGCGCCCTCTGACTTTTTCCAGCCCTTCGTCCGGGATGTACGAGGCAACCACAACCCAGGGAGCTGACCGTCATTCTGCTCTCCGGGTCCAGGGAGCCCACGCCGCCCATCCGCTTCTCTATCTCTGCACTGTTACCCTTGTTTTGCATCCACGGTGTTCAGCTGTACTTGGCTGGAGGAACCGACCTCCATCTTCCCAGAACCAGAAGTCTGCCGTGGAATTTTTTAAGATAAATAAAATGCACAGCGACCACAGTGACCGGGCGTGTCAATCAGGGATCAGACCGATTTCCAGGTCCAGCATGTTTCAGCTTTGTGACCGTGCGAGAAACAATGAATCATTAATCACAAGCGCCAGTTTCCTCGTCTCCAGTACATAGATTAGTACTAGGATCTGGAAAATACCATGTAAGTTTGGTTAATATTGGCGTATAAAGCGCAGACTTTTGGTGACGAGAACAGTTCCGGTCCGTGTGAGTGACGGCCGCGTGCGTCCCACGGAGGCCTCTGCGCGTCATGCCGCAGATCACAGGCCGGGACCTGGGTGCTGGGCCGACGGCCGCGGATTCTCCCTGCTTTGTCCACGCCGCACGATTGCCTGACTCCTTGACATTATTAGTGAAGACTGATATTGGGTAAAATCTCCGGTTTTATGTGCATCTGATTAGATAGCCCAACCCTTTGTATTTACTCAACCGTGTATAAAAGAATTATCCATAATTCAATACTAACACTCATACGAAACCACATTTAGCATTTCAGTCTTTTTTTTCTGCTTCTGTGTATAAATACCACTAAAAAAGAATCATATCAGATAAGGGGATGTTTATTTTTGCATTTACATTTTTTACTTTTTATCATATTGCAGATATTTTCTTATCATCATATATTCTTTAAAAACCATGATTTTTATGGACTATATCAAGTTCCTTCAAATGGTTATTACACTTTATGTAATCATTCATATGTTAATGGCCAAGAAAGTAGTTACATTTTGATAATAAATGCAAATAATACATCAAGGTTCATTTTTATATGCTTTTCAAATGATCTCTTTAGAATAAGCACTGAGAATCCTTAGAGCAAAGTTCATGAATATTTCTAAAGCCCTTGGTACTTTGACAAGTTTCCCTCCTAGCAACTGTGATCCATTTATGCTTCTCTTGAGTATGACAATTCAAGGCAACTTTGCAACACTGGGTATTAATTGTTAAGATATTTGTTATCATTTTTAAAAAGAAAAACATACCATTTTGTTTTAATTAATATTTTTATTGTAACTTATTTTGAAAATGTCCCCATTCATAGTTGTTCATTTTTAAGTCTTTATTTTTTTGCACATTTTCTGTATAAGGGAACTACTTTTTTTTATTGATTTGTCCCAATATGTTCATTTCTTGAGAATCTGTGTATATTGTCTATCAAATTGATCAGAATCATGTTTTCCACTTTATAATGATTTTTAAATTTATGTTTTGGCTTTAAGATTCCATTTCTTCCAGACTATGAGAGTAGAAAACTTGCCCAATAAAATATACAGGAAATAAACTTACTGTGATTTCACCATATAGAGATGAATATCCTTACCTCTTTTTGGTATTTCCTATAATTACTATATATTTTCTGTTTATTTATATTTTGCTGGGAATTTCCATGAGAATCTGGAAGGAAAAAAGTTGGGCCATTTTGCTCACAAAAAAAATTCTCAACCAGACAAATCTCAATACATTGTCTATTTTTAGGAGGGATGATATAGGAGCACAAAAAAGAGCAGAGTAAGACATGCCATAGCCAAAAAGGAATGGATTTTTATTCTTCAAGCACTAGCACCTTTATATAAAAGTGACTGGGATCAACAAAAGAATCATACAGGAGGCCATGCTCTGAGCTGGCTACACGGCTCCATGTACCACGGCTGCAGCTGCTGGTACCAGGGGCTGGGGGGAGGAGGGGCAGGCATCCTCTGTCGTTTCCTGCAGCCTGACCTCCAGGGCAGGAACTTGGAAAAAAAATTGCATGATTTAAATGCACTTCCAGCTGATTACTTAAGAAGAGAAGGGGATGCATGCCCTTTCGCTCCATAGTAGGCAGAAACAGAAAAGAGAATCAGGATTTGGGCACACTGCATTCTCATAGGAGTTAATAAAAAAGACTGAGAATTCTAGGTCAGGAAGAGCGTAACATAATAAGATCAATTACTTTGAACATAGTAAGATCAATTACTGGTAGGGGTTATGAATCTTATATGAAAAGAAAGTCTTAAATGTAGGGGCTACTACTGACAGAAGACTAATCAGCTCTGTGTGAGATGTATCTGATCTATCTAGACATTCAGGTAACCAAAGATTGGAAAAAAGAAAAAGAATAGAAAATGGAGTGCACAGTGCAGAATTACAACCTTTCTCTCTGCCTCCTTTCCTGGCATTCAAAGTTCACATGAACTCTTC